GTTGTAGATGTCGGTTTCAGTGACCCGGCAAATGGAAAGGTGCTGGTCCGCAAAAAAAAACCACAGTAGAAGAGTTAAATTTGACCTACCCGCTAAAAACTTTCACGGGCTCATACGTGGGAACTACGCATACCTGGGGTGGGTTAGAACTCATTGAGACCTACGTGAACGGCGGACATTTCCTAAAAATTTCAGTTTTCCTGCTCTTTTGGTTCCCGAGTCAGCAGCTTACCCGCCAAAAACATTGGCGGGCCTGTACGGAGGGACCACGCGGATAAGAGCGGCTTTTTATGCGTCTTTGTCGTGCAGCGCTAGAGCGCTGCAACAGACAGCAAAAACACATATTGCAACGACCCTGTCAATGTGTGTATGTGTGTGTGTGTGCGCGTGTGCGTGTGAGTGTGTGTGTGTCCGGGTGTTTCAACTCGCCAACCACGCAAGCTTTGAGGTTGAAATTTTGCCAGTGTGTTTCCTAGCCAAGTACCACCCCAGGACCCCAGTATCGACTCTCCAGGCCCCGCGTACGAGCACATGAAAGTTTTGGCGCGAAAATTGATAACTCGGGGACGCGAAAAGCTAGAAAGCAGAAACCTTGGGGGAATGTCTCCTACCTGTGTATGACAAAAATATTTCAAATTCAGCTGCCCAGGACTGCCCGGGCTTACGTACGGGCACGTGAAAATTTTTGGCGCGAAAATTGCTAACTCGGGGACGCGAAAAGCTAGAAAGCTGAAACTTTAGGGAAATGTTTCCCACACATGTACGACCAAAATCAGGCGATCAAAAACGCCTGGGACCCACGTGCGGGCACGTGGAAATTTTATCAAAAAGCACAAAACCTGCGAAGAACTATGAAAAAAGACGCATCTTCGTACCGGCAGTCGATGCGCTGGCCATTTCCTGATGTGTGAGGTGCAAAATGCATGCTGACGAAATAATAAGCATGTTGATGTATTTGTGTCCCATTTTGAAGACAACGATCAAACAGATGAAAAAACGATTTTTTTAGGATCCTAGTCATTTAGTCATTGGCTGCAAAATGATCTAGGACAATAATTTCAGCCTCATAACATCATTGGATTTCAGTCACTGTGACCACGTTTTAAATGTAATATTTTTTTTTTTTTTTGCAAATGTTTAATTTGCAGATGCCAGTAAGTAAATTATTCTCTGTGGACATAATCATGAAGAAGCGCAAGCTCACGCCGGTTCTCCGAACGCATCGTTAAACAGTGAAAGAGATGTAAGCAACTTCTAGTACTGAGACGCACAAAACTGCATAAATCT